AATCTGCAGCTAAGTTTAGAAGTAGAGAGGAAGAAGCTTTGGTTCATGTAACTAAGTCCAGCAGTGTTTTTGTACTTCATTATTTGTAAATTGTAGGATGAAGTAGAGGCAGACTGTGATGTTGTATGGTGGATTGTTGTAATGACGGTACTTTGATGGAATAAAACTGCTTATTCATAAATAAATAAATAAAAATATGTGGTCATTTTTATGGGATTTCTGATGTGCTTCAGTCTTGAGGTGATTTGTGGTATGTTTTATGAGGGTTTCGATCTGACGCTTAAAAAACTTGTGGTAAGCTTTATGAAGTTATGGAGTGCCCTGGGGAACTTAATTATAACATGCTTTATAAGGAAATTGGCCTGCTTTATCAAACTTGTGGTTAGCTTTATGAGATTTATGGTGAGCTTCAGGGAACTTGTGGTGTACTACTGTACTTTATGATATTTCTGGTTTGCTTTAAGAAACTTGTGTTCCGTTTTGAGTTTTGTAGTATGCTTTATGAATTTTGTGGTGTGGTGAGGTTATGGTCTGCTTTATAATCTTTCCGGTCTACTTTATGTTATATGCGGTGTGATTTAATTTGTTGTGTTTATCGTCTGTGTTTTGTGGTGTGTTTCATGATACTTGTGGTTATTACGAGATGTGAAATAAATGAGCACCGCATGCGTGTTCCCCCTATAATTTTTTTAAAAGACAAATTTGTCCTCCCTTTAAAAATGAACATCAATTGTGGTCAATCCTCAAAAATAAATAAAAATAAATACTAACTATTGATTATTGGAACTAGTGTTAGCACTATGCTAACAAATTGGGTGTCAGCACAATAACCTCGATCTATAAAAATAATGATCTATACTTACACTTGGCGTTGATAAATATTAATTGTATTGTAATTAATTGATTCTAGTTATTAATTTTAAAATTTGTAAATGAATTATGTAGTTTGTTTGTTAACAAAGTTTGATACATGAAGGTAGATTGTTGCTAGCTAATAGCAATGGCGTATGCTAGGGTTTAAGCTCATATGTTAGGATTAAAGTTCATATGCAGGTAATCGTGCATCTCAAATCGTGAAAGAGCTTTAGCTCCACTGATATCTATCCTGACGGAGGAGATGGACCGGTCCCTAAAAAGGTTTTAGCGACGGATTGTAACTCTTCTTGCGGAGTTGTGGTCTCTGAAAATATGTTTACTTGTAACTGATAACTTCTGCTTTACTCACTTGATCAGTACCATAGATAGTACTGTATTTATTAGAAATTATAAACTAAAACCGTCTACATCAGTATTCTCCCCCTGCTTTCTATATATGTAAAAGACGTACTCCACTGCTTCTTCTTTATTTATTTTTTTGGGTATATTCAGAGTTACTATCTCCGAACTCTAGTTCGTAGTAATTCCCTTACAGCGTAAAACCCATGCGGTCGAATCGCAAGAGAAAATGACACGTCGAAAATTCTCTTTCTCTTACATGATCGTCGCCAGTTCTTTTTTCATCAGCAACTCTCGAACTGATACCTTACCATAACACGATTGTAATAACCGTTGCCAGAACCATTCGTATCGAGTTTGCTGAAAGTATCGTGGTCCAGTTCAAGCCCCTCGATTGCAGTCGTGTGAACGATTTGCACCTTCACTTGGGCATCAACTCCTCCAGCTCCGACAGTCGTCACCTACACATGTACACATTTGCACATAGGCAGGTTAGGTCTACCCTTGTCAGTTGACAAAACTTGTTTCAATTTTGAGACAAAAAAATTTTATTTAGTGCGTAATAATAGTACATAAATTCAAAATTATTTGACAATCCTTGAAGATTTTATTTCATCGTTCCATATCTTGATGTAATTCTTGAGTCCGCCACGGTGCACATATATGAGAGAATAAGGGTGTTCTTACCTTGAGGCATCGGCCGCAAATAGCAGTAGTAATATTACCACCACCGAGAGCAGCCCAAGGATACCTCCGACGCGCATTCAGCGACAGGCGAGAGAGGGAAGGAGCACATGACAAAACCTCCGACGACGACGAAGAAGAAGCAACGCCGTCGATTCCGCGGCGTGCGAGCACTTGTTGTTGTACTGCTACTCCGCCATCTGTTTGATCTTTGGGACAATAGTACTGACAGCAGTCCTCAGAACAACCCAGTTTACTGCAGTAGTTATCGGTACCGCAGCAGGTGCCGGCGTCGCACTGGGTCCATCCGCCGTCGCTTCTTAGCCCGCAGTACTGGCCGGAAGACGGTCCAGCATTCAACACGGCCACCACCACCACTATTAATATTGCTACTTTCATTGCACTCTCCATGGTCAACTTGTTTTCTTCTTCTTCTTGTTATTTGTTTTTCTTCCCTTTGTAGAAAAGGATGGGTTGATGTGGTGATCATAGACATGGATGCATGTACGTATTTATACTAGCTCTCGTACGATAGATATGTGGAGGTTAACGATGGAGTTTGGAATAAGTACGTTTCTGTGAGTATTGTGTTCAATTATAGGAGGAGTTCAGGGGTGTCTGATATGCATTCCATTGGTGGCAACGGTTTTGGTTGACATGCATCGATATTTAACTTGGAGGGTTTCCTTTGTCGTTGCATGCCAATCTGCCGAATGGAAGAGATGGCCGTGGGATCAGAGCTTAATTTCTTTCTTTCTGTTCGCATCAAATATTGGACGTGATGATAGTCCTCCAATTTCGGCCGAGAGACTGTATTTAGAGAGCAGCTTTGTAGTGAATGGTATAAGATAGCCAATCGAATATTTTTCGAATTTCAGACAACCCTTGTTTATTAAGCATATGGTATTGGCGACTTGTGTGCAAGTATCGAATTGGGTTCATGTCATACGAAATGTTGAGTGTAATGAGATGAGAGACTTTGAAAATCCTAAGTTCATGGGGTTTTTTATAGGTTCGTTGCCGTTGCCATTCAACACCCATTCAACGTCGCTCGTTCGCTTCCGTCGTCGTCTCCTCATCTTCCACTCGTCGGCCATCCAACTATCGCGCCCTTGCCATGTTTTCCGATTGAATATGGGGTTTCGCTTGCCACCATCGAATCTGGATTTTCGCATTGAAAGAAGCCGGCCGGTCACAGAGCCCAGTTGCATCCAGATGCTCCCCTACAGTGTTTGATGGTAAATAAGTCAAGCGGGTGATGTCACAGACATAGACTTCCGAAGCCCGTGCAGCGTCTTGAGGTGCACTCATTCCTCAAGACCAGCCTCTCTGCATACGCATGCCAACTGGTTTCACCCTGCCTTGGGCTCATCAGGGGCAATAGCCTCCGACTAGTTGTGTCTTTGCTTGCAACGATCCCCGTCATAGCCACATCCTGACTCGGCCAGAACGATACACAGGTAGACAAACCTTATGGCTATAGTCGCCCCCTTTTACCCCTCTTGTGGCAAGACGACCAGATGTCAGCGTTCTTCAGACGATCAACACGGTCACGAAATTTCGGGTCGTGCCATTTCACTTGTCACAGACATAGACTTCCGAAGCCCGTGCGTCGTCTTGAGGTGCACTCATTCCTCAAGACCAGCCTCTCCGCATACGCATGCCAAGTGGTTTCGCCCTGCCTTGGGCTCATCAGGGAGATGGCAATAGCCTCGACCAGTTGTGCCTTTGCTTGCAACGATCCCCGTCAAAGCCACATCCTGACTCGGCCAGAACGATGCACAGACAGACAACGCCTTATAGTTATAGTCACCCCCTTTTACCCCTCTTGTGGCAAGACGACCAGATGGCAGCGTTCATCAGACGATCAACACGGTCACGGCATTTCGGGTCGTGGCATTCTACACCACCCATAATGTAGCACGTCCTCGTGCTGGTGAAGAATGCTTCTCTCCGCATCATGTATTGCAACACTCGAACCGATTGTGGGCGTCCGCATACAATACCATTATCTGATGGACAGGCTCCGGTCGCGTCTCTCGCGCTAGCCTGTTGTGCCATGCGCACATACCGCTTCGCCCCTCGACATCAACCTTCACTCTTCGCTTCTGTTGCGCTAGTAACTCAGTCGACCTTCACCCTATGCTACTCCCAACGTTTATACCTCAATCGACATTCACCCTACGCTCTTGCTAGCGTTAGTTCCTCGGTTGAACTGCATTCTCGGCCGCTGCATTCTCCGTCTGTCGAGTCTCCCACAATGGTGCAATACATGTGTATCTGCGTCCGGACCGCCTGATATGCACACCCAGGACCGCCTCTCATTCCGGCATAAGATCGGCCCATACTCGACCTATGATGTACTAAGAGAGGAACTAGGCTCTTCAGCCTAACCAGGCTCTGATACCACTTGTCACGGACATAGACTTCCGAAGCCCGTGCGACGTCTTGAGGTGCACTCATTCCTCAAGACCAGCCTCTCCGCATACGCATGTCAACTGGTTTCGCCCTACCTTCAGACGATCAACACGGTCACGATATTTCGGGTCGTGACAGTGGTTACTGACTTACTGTATCATTTGTAGCGTGGGACGGACATGAGTATCTATTTAGTGTTTATGATCCGTCTTGCTTCGCCTCGTCCCGTTCATGGCCCATTCTATCTCAATTTCAGTATCTATTTGTATTTCTCCTCTTTTGACTTTTATTCAACTAGTTAGACTTGATCTTTCAACTAGTTAGACTCAATTACCCATTTTATCATCACTATTTTCATTCATAAAGTATTTTTTCCAGTATTTTATCATAAAAAGTTAAATTTTGCGTGTATTTTTTTCAAACCTACGTAATAGTGGGTCGATCAGCCCCGTCCTGTACCCACACGGGTATTACTCGTACTGACTTGCTGTAGCATGGGCCGGAACATGAGTATTGAGATACCCACCCCGCCCCATCCCATTGCCATAAGCCCATAATTAGAGTTCACGACTTGAGCTCAACAAGCCACCTAATCGAGCTGGCTTACGAACTGAACAAAACTTAACTCACACTCGACTCGTTAATAGACGAGTTAAACTTTTTTCTTATTCGAAAGAGTTTTTATCAAGTCGAGTTTTTATCAAGTCGAACATCAAGCCGTTAAGGCCTATGCGGTAAATGACCAAACAGTTCCGCTCGCTCTGCACATGCATAAATCCAAATTACGCAAAACAGCAAGTGAAGGCAAGGTTCTCTGCAGTAACAAGAAAGGAAACTGAACATTCTTCTCTGTCTTATCTGCCTTCAGCTTCAGAACCGAACCCGCTCTCCTCGTACATCTCATTCTCAAATCTTGCCTAAAAACTTCCTCAACAGACCTCTCGGAACAGAATTTACAACAAGAAGAAAAAAAAATCTTCCCCCCAACCCAAACATAGATACACATATATTCTCTGTAAAGGATCAGCATCCATCATTTTACCAAGCAGCAACACTCAACTTGTCCCTGCCCCTTTCGTGCTGCCAAAGATGGTCAATCAGTCATGGAGCTGGCAACACTATAGATCTGAGACAGAATAAGACAACAAAACCTATGGAGATGCATGAGCAGCATTATTGCTCTTGGTTTTCTTCGTCAGCAGTATACACAGGCAGTTTCCATATCTTGGTGTTCTTCTTTGGGTCGTCGGTGAGGCTGAGATCCGTATCAGCTTCTTTGTATGTTCTGATGAATGTTTTTGCACCCATCATTATCAAACGTTCTATCATGAAAAGTTCGTAGTTGTTCTCAATCAGAGGGTCCAGGATCTCGCTGTAGTTAGATGAGTATGCTAGTTTGTATCTGCAAAACACCAAAGACCAAAATCCATCGTCACCTTCACCAATAGCATGTGGAGCAATTTGATTCCAACAAAATCACTACTAGCAAACTCTGAACAGATGATCCTACGAGCTAGGAAATTGCAACTTCATTCACAAATTTAAACATGTGAACCAAAATCCATCTTACGCATCTACTTATGCAATACAGGAAAAGAGTTACGCTGTTACGGTATGCATCAGATGCCTAATCAAAGTGGTTTCCAATGGCTAGGTTCAAACTGGACCGAATTGCCATTTGGGTAGACTCAGACCAGATCAAAATAAGTTCTTCCAGGTTTCAATTTTGTAGATTCTCTCCAAAAGGAAAAAGTGGACCATGCGTACCCTTGAACCAAAGTGACAGAATTGTTCTTAACCATTATCCATTGACCAAACTTATATTTCATAGGCAAAGGACCTTATAGGAGAGAATTATAAAGAATGCTTACTTAAGAGCAAGAGGTGAAAAGAAATTCGGGGTCCTCTCATTTGAAGCAATGAAAAGAGTTCTTCCAGGTGGGACCCACTTCTCAATTCTCCGAAGAATAAATTCAGGGCGTGTATCCCTGTCCAGATGAGGATGCAGTGTTCGAGGAACTCCATACCTATCCTTCCTTGTTTTAATTTTATCCCCACGCCGAACATGAATAGCATCATAATCACCAAGTTGGGCTATGATCTGTAGATATGAATACAATGGGCAATGAGTTTATTACTTGCAGAAAGCAGATCTTGTAAAGCCTGCCTGCAGGAGAGTTCCAGCAAAGAACAAGGCGCAAAACTATCATCATTGTGGTAATTGATTATAGCAAGATATAGCCAATATAACTATTATTAAAAATAGTACATACTAGAGGGCACAACTAAATCAACAACCTGAAACATTCCATATGAATCCCATTGGTATGCTTGATCAATATGATCACGATTTTGCATTGATACTCGTGGAAAGCATTGCACATTTCATGATTACTAAAGATTGGTTCTACATACCTCGTCTGCAACATCTCGCAATCTCTCTGCTGCCATTGAAGGAAGAAATGAGTATGGAAGCAGTATTGCACTTCGGTTGTTTCTGTCCTTGCATTCCATGAACCTAAAGGGTTATTATTGTCCCCCAGGGAAATAGATAAAAGAGTTAAGAATCATAAAATTGGCTATGACAGAAATTTTTACAACAAACAGCGATTATAGAATACGAAAAAATTTATAAGGCTCTTTACTACTTTCTATTCTCCCACTGAATGGAGCAGATAATAGCAGATTAAACAGTATCAGCCAGTCGAAATAGTTCAAGATTTCCCGGCAACACGAAATCACAAGCTCTAAAGTAAGTCAATGAATGAAGACAGCAAACGAAACCTTTTAGGCTATTCAAAAGATTTCACTACACTTTATTCTAAGTGGGAAAACAGAACTATTTTGTATAATGAAGAAGTCAATTAAGGAAGCAAATAGAGCAACATAAACTTTAAGTGTCCCCAGGAGAGCAAAAAATCTTACATCAGTGTCATAATACACACTGTAAAACTAAAAGCCTCTATACACATCTGAGAGCCTCCCCTCCAAACCCCAGACAACTTCAACAACTAACTGACTACAAAGATCATAAGTTTAACAAGAAAAGCAACACAAAGCTGAATAAACCAACATGATGCATACCAGGAAAGGGGACTTGCAGTTCGATTTATGACCAATAGATTGGTATAGCGGCTGTCCTCTTTGAGTTCCAACCGACTAACTTCTTCTACATGGGCAATTCCTCTTGATTCCAACTTCATCGCAGTTGAGACAACATGAAACCACTCTATGGAATTGTCTAAGATAACAGGTACAGTTTCAGACATGAGGTCTATATCGTACAAAGACTCCATACTGCAAGAGTTAGACGTCCACCTTCAAAATAAAAGTAACAAACTTTAGGACATACACAACCAATTCACCCAGTTTTCCACTCTTCCTCTGCTTCTGTACATTTTAATTGATCACAAATGTCAGGCAGAAATAAATATTACCTTTGGACAAATGATTTTTCGGCAAAACTCAAAGGGCTTATCAAATTAGGAAATTTTCACAGCATAAAAGATATAGTTTGTTATTCGGTATTCAGACCCTACAAAAGATAATCCACAAGGTGATACTCAGGAAACACACCTTTCTTCAGAACTCGAATTGTCGGAATGATGAAGGATTCCCTTGTTATTGTGTATGGGATTGATGCACATTCTAGACGGCATGACAAAAGTTCTGCAACAAGGTGAAAGAAGCAATGGTCAGATTGTGATCCTTTTCAAGGAAGTTTAAACACATAAACAGAGAACATATACTTGCAGCACCTACAAACTGCAAGACACTAGATATGTCAACTCCCTGTGTCCTTAAACTGGTGAAAGTTATCAGAATTCACTACTCAGAGTTCCTGTTTAACCCTTTCATCTCATACGCTTCATTTGCATAAAAAAATCCTTTTTTGGGAAACAAAATTCCTTGAATTTCAACGACTTTTTCACTTGCCCTAGTGAACTCAAACCATGAGAAGGCATGATGCAAGAGAATCTCAGCGTAACGGTACCACATCAACCCTCCATAAGTATACCAGCAAGCACAGATCTAACACACTAGCATACTACTCTGACTCTGGTAAGAACACTATCCAAATCAGCACACTAGACATTCATCATCCAAATCAACTCCGGTCTAATTTAGGCAGTTTCATAAAATAAAACATATCCAATTCCCCTAGAATTCTCAACTGTACACGACGCCGGATACTATTAGAACAAGTGAAGCAGCTCGGGGGGAAAAAGAACCAAACTTTTCGCCATTACCTATTGAGAAACAAGGCTTCCTCGAGAGCACACCTGAGGCTGGACTCCTGGTGACCCAGCCCTTCGCAAGATTCGCAATGCTTTCCAGGACAGTCAATTCTATTCCCCCAGTACAAGTACTTGTCATGCAGAGTATGCATCCGCTTGGGTCGACTGGGCCTCAGAAGCCCCTTGATGAGCTTCATGGAGCGGGCGGAGAACCCATTGGTGGAAATCAGGGAAGAGAGGAGGAAAAGAAAGCCAATGGCAGCTACCCAGATCAGCAGATTCGGGATTGAGGATCTGGGTCTGTTCTTCAGCTTCGGAGGTTTATGAGTTGTCGCCATTGGAAAGTCGCTGGACAGAGAGAGAAATGGCGAGGAGGAGAGATCATGTAAGGGGTGGTGAAGGAGTTTTAACTATCTCTTTTCTGCTTTCTTTCTAATCGCAATCACCAATCGGGAAGAAGAAGAAGAAGAAGATGGATTACGAGCGCGGAGAAAGAATCAGATTTCTTTCTTGAAATTTTTTGGCATTCGCTGAGCTGTTTTTCCTCTCTCCAGTTGAGTTGATATCGCCAGTGAAGAGACGGTTATGGAGCTGAAAGTCAAAGGTATATCTTGTGGGCTTGAGTGGTGCTTTTGGGCCCAATGTTTCCACTGAGGCCTACAACGAGATGCCCCCAAAGTTCAGGCCCGTAATGGACTGGCTCCTAAGCCCAGCCCTAAATTGCAACATAGGCACAAAAGATGAGTGGTAAAATGCAAATTAGCCATGTATTTCCCAAGACATGCACATTTCCCCCAAAAGCAAAGCCCTATTTTATTCATGACCAGCCAAAGCCGACTCGTTCGTAGAGTTACAATTTATACTGAGCCGAGGATCCGATTTGGCAGAGTGGAGAAGAAACCGTTGAGACTGTAGAAGAAAAGGACTGAGCGAGCGAGCGAGCGAGCTACTCAGTCAACACTCACCGCCATTCCAATGTTCCAGCCCAACCACCACCAGGTAAACTCCATTCCCCTCCTCAGTCAGTTTCTAAGAAAATGGTGAACGAGAGAAGGAAAAACTCAAGGTTTCGGTAAAAGAAGTGAAGAATTCGACCAGTGTGGTTACCTGTTTCGCGCCACCGGGTTTCGGTTTCCCCAGCGGCTACAAGAATGCGTTAGCTAGGGTTTCTCTCTGCATGCGGGTTGTGTTGAGCTAATCGAGCGTTGTAGTTGCCCGTATATCGACTCATGCTGCATCCGATTTCTGTTTTGTGAAATTGGTCATTCTTTGTTTGCAAATGCCGTAGAATTGAAGCTTCTGGGGCTATTAAATGAGCGCCTGATTGAAACCATGGTAATGTGGGTGTAATTTCATCGGGAGTGTTGAAATTAAGCTGTGCATGTGTGCATTAAAACTGAAACGGATTTGTGTTCGATTTTTCTTTTGGTATCTGACAAAGACATGTTTACTTTCAGGAGCCACAGCCACAGCCACTGGCAGTTATGGATGTGGATCAGAGTGAGATGAGTATAGTTCAATGGGATGGGACACAAAATGGGGGATTTTCACAAGCTCAATCCATGATGCTTAACTCTAAGGTTATCATCTGATCAGAGTTTGATGCAGTTTTTGTATTTTTATGTGCATGGAGGAGGCATTTGTGTGGGGGTAACTTCCCGAGAAAAGAATCATTTGGAATATCTCCTTGTTTATGTTTGTGCATATCCCTGTTTGACGGTTTTTATATGTAGTTTGAACGAAATGGTTGTATTCTGATGAGATTTACCTAATGCTGTAGAAACTTCAAGATGATCTCCAAAACTTGGGGCTGAAAATCAAGCAGCATGAGAACAACTTAAAACTTCTGAAGAATCAAAAGAACAAACTAGATGACTCTATTCTTGATACACAAGGTATGGTATGGCTAGGAATGGGAACCTTTTTTCCTTCTTGAGTGTTTAAAAACCTTACAAGAATGGCCCAACACAATCAACTGGTTGTTAAGTGTTTCCTTGTATTATTAGGTTTATAATATCGAACATGGGTTTATTGTCTATAAAATTATGGCTTTATTTCCATTATAGTAAGGAATCACTCTAGACATAGATTCCTATTTATGATCGCTTTTCCTTAATATTGACGAACTTGATCTGCGTTTTCTAATAGTTTTATGTGGTTTGTGACTTTCAGGTTTGGTTTGGTGTATTTGTAAAATTGTTCACGTGGTGTATTTTTATTTGAATTTTATACACATCACTTGCGCTCTATTTATTTTGCATGTCATTATGTGAGGTGTATTACTAAAAGTTTCTTTTGGTTGTACAAGAAATTGTACCAGAAAATTTTTTCTTACAGAAAAAAAGACATGTTGGACTCCTTCTCTACATTGCATTGCTCACATACCTTACACTCTTCATGTCTTTGAGATTGCATTATTTTGGTGCATTTGATCAGTCATAGTTTTCTAATTCTATTCCATCAAAAGTGTCAACCAGAAAATGACATGTGTGTCAACTTTAAACCAATGTGCTGACACTATTGTCTCGACTGCATCTCAAACCGCTTATATCTGGAAAAAGGGTTTTTTTTTGTGCTGTCGCTGAGGACCTGGAATCAATAAGATACATTTTTATTTATTTGTGCAAGGCATTCACGCTGTTTCCTTTTTGCTCCCTCATTTCCTTGAACTTCTCTCAGTCACTCTTAGCAAGTATCATTCTTCTGCTGCAACGGGAACTGAAAATGAAGAGCGTACCTCCCAGAGTGAAGAGGAAACAATTAAACAAATTCTACAGTATGGGCCTTCTGCTGCAAGCATTTGGTGCCAGTTGAGAGCAAATCACACATCATATGCCTCATATCCGACATTGACCAAAGATGTGATTGGAATTGTCGCTACACTTGGTCGAGTAGATGATGATAATCTTAGCAGGTCTGTATGTGCGACTTTGCATGGCACATATTAGCTTAATGTTTGATTATAAATGAAAAATCTTTATGATGCGGATATTAGTAAGCATCACCTCTTCGATTTTAGGGGGTTTGCCAGCTTTAGATAACCTAGAAGATTGGTGACCTTTAAATTTTTTCTAATGATCAGTGTTTTCTTTATGTGGATGCAGGATGCTGTCTCAGTATCTAGGGGTAGAGACTATGTTAGCAATTGTATGCAAGTCCTATGAAGGTGTGAAAGCTCTAGAGACATATGACAGGGAAGGCCACATTAATAAGGAGTCTGGTATTCATGGTGTGGGTGCTTCGTTTGGGACAGCTTTGAATGGTTCATTTTCCGTCATTTGTCTTGAAGATTTGAGGCAGGAATCTAAATTTAACCCTTTGGCCGTCAGGAATCTTTTTGTCGAGGTTATAAGTGATCATTGTTTTGTTTTACAGGCCTTACTGTGGTGAATTTGTTCTTGATGACCCCCAAAGGAGGTTGGACCTTCTGAAGCCAAAGTTGTCAACTGGGGAGAGTCCTCCTGGATTTCTTGGGTTTGCTGTGAATATGATAAACGTGGAATACATGAACTTGTTTTTCCTCACATCTAGTGGACATGGCCTCAGGGAGACTCTGTTATATAATATCTTCTCTCGGTTGCAAGTTTATAAAACAAGGGAAGATATGTTACTTGCTCGTCCTTGTATAAGTGATGGAGCCATTTCCCTGGATGGAGGGATGATCAGGCATCCAGGTATCTTTTCCCTAGGCAGCTGGTAAGTAGCTGGGTCACGCCATTTATTTGCGTTCTATTAAACTGGCTATTTGTTAAGGTGGGTGGATTTAGTAATATGATTTACTTTGATGTGACTAATGCCTCTGATTCCTCTGTATCCTTGATATATCAGTGGTGAATCTGACTCTGAGGTTGATTGTCTACTGTCTTGCAGTGTTTTCTCTTGCTTCATCGTTTTCTAGTATGTATACTTAACTGTGTTGCTTAGTAGCTCTGCGTTGTAGTAACTTCTGTTTGCTGAGTCTAAATTTTAAAACTTAACTGTAACCTGTAGCTCATTTGTTCACTAATCATGTAGCTGCTCAGTGTTTATGATACCTTTATACAGTGATGAGTTTTTTTATTTTCCTTTGTGTCCTGATACTTTTTACCTTTTGTCAATTTTCTGCCCCTCGTGCTTGTAATTGCTTATTTTCCTCTATTTTCAGGAAAAATAAAACTTGTACAGATATACCATCTTGCCATATGAACTTGTTTCTGGCGGCTATAAATCGTGATGTTCAATTTAGTTTTACTTCATAATGAAGTTTTCATTTTATCTTATATCTGATGTTTTAGAGGACACTATATTCAGGAAGGAGATGAATATAAGGTTCCCAAGATCGTCAGCGTCAAGTGCTCCTAGCAAGTATAGTGAAACAGAGAAGCAACTCATGGAGATGCGATGGAAGAAAGAGAAAATGGAAGAGGATATGAAGAGGGAACAAGCTTTACTGGATGCTGCGAGGCACCAGTTCCAAAGGAAGAAGGAAGAGTTTGTCAAATTCCTTGCTGAAAGCTCATCATATGCAGCTCAGGTAACCCCCCCACTTTCATGTTTGGGGTAGAGTAATTCATATTAAGTAGGAGAGAGAAAACTGTCATTTGAAGGATTACTGGTAAAATGCCTACAGATATCTAATAAACATGCTAGGTAATTTATCACCGTAATTATTTCTGTTCCTACAACTCGGTGAAACCTCCTTCATGTGATTTTGAGTGGAAAGTCATGAAAGGTCTAGGTCCAATGTTCGAAAAGCAACCACTCATCAAATAGTAAACATAGTTTTAAAGGGTAAGTGATGTGCCTTGGGTTTATTATGCAAAAGAGAACATGGGGAGGATAGTGTTCTGCACTTCACTTGTTTCTTGAATGCATGAGTGGACTCATACAGTTTCAATTCTGCAGCAACCGCATATGCATCCAATGCAGCAGCAGCAACCGCATATGCATCCAATGCAGCAGCAGCAACAGCAACAGCCCATGCATCCGATGCAGCAGAATCACTTCATGAACAGATGATCTCCTTGGATGGAAGAAATCCTAATCACAGGAGGACAACCGTGGCGAATGTTTTTGTCTTCTGTATGCACAGAATTCACCGTCCAAGCCGTGCTGCTTCCAACTTTACTCCTTGTGCCGAGAAATGTGCTGCGAATTCTCCTCAGAAGAGTTAGTCGGCATCGTTTCTCAAGAACTAGGAAAAGTCGTGCGGAAATCTCTCGTGTTATGGTGTCGAGACAAAGCAAAAGCTTGCTTCCCAGGGTATTCAAATGGGTATCCCTGTCCCAGCCAGGGCGTTATGATGTTGGTCTTCCTCTAGACTCTAGTTGTATGCCCTTTGGCTCTTGCTTTATATGTTTTTCGATCAGTACCATCGATTTGGATGTGGCTTTTGCTGTTGGTGGTATGAAATGCTCCTTTGTTTAGGAAATTAGTGTTCGATAGTAGAGTGCCAGTTTGATGAGTGAAAGTGTTTAACCATTGCGACATAACTAAACAACCAACCTGAAGTCTTGCTAAATCCGAACTCTTCTAAAACAAACATGTATCATATCCTTATTTGGAAAAAAAAATTCGAACTTTTTTATGTCCAGCGGAAAAAGGGTAAATGACACATTTGGTCACTGAGATTATTAAATTGTGTCATGTTTAGTCACTAGAAAAAATTAATATCAATTTTGGTCACTCGAATTACCGAAACTGGTCAAATTTAGTCACTCTCCCGTCAGTTTCCGTCCAACTCCATTAATGTAGTTGGACGGAAACTTTTAGGAGAGTGACTAAATGTGACATGTTTCAGTAATCCGAGTGACTAAATGTGACATTTTTCAATAATTCGAGTGACCGGAGTTGGACAGAGGCTACAGAAGAGTGACCAAATGTGACCTGTTTCAGTAATTCGAGTGACCAAAATTGATATTAAATTTTTCTAGTGACTAAATATGACACGATTTAGTAAACTCAGTGACCAAATGTGTCATTTACCCGCGGAAAAATAGTGAAATGTGTATTTGTGAGGTCGGCGATTCGAATCCCACAACCCCTTTTTTTCTCGATATTGTTTTACAGCCCGACCCCCTGCAGCTAGGGATGGCAATCAAACCCATGGCCGCGGGTACCCGACCGCCCCCGACCCAGTCAACGCGGGTAATCCCCGCTTTGACCGGGTATGGGGCGGGTATGGGTAAAACCCGCAAAAAGTTTGATGGGTATGGGGCGGGTATGGTTTTAGCCTCCCCCGCCCCATACCCATACCCATATCCGCCCCACCAAGAGAATTTCTTCACATATACAAAAACATGTGGATCAAATTGTAATCTATCAATGGTGATGAGGATAACTCAAGGAAATAAATAGTAGAAATGCAATTGAGTGACCACTGTAATCAAAACCTAATTCATTTCCCTCAATTCTCCTTTCACTTTTTCACTTTCCCCCTTGTCAACAAGATTATGCTAGTTAATTATTACTTAGTAGATGTATAAGAGTTAGAACATAATAATTTGAAAAATATTATACTCTATATTATGTATTAATGAATGTTTTAGGATCATATTCTTTGAACCATATTAAGAAAATGATCGTGTTTTGTTTAATTCGTGATATAATAGGTACGTTTAGAATTTTAGTTAAAACTTTTCTTGTGAATTTTTGGATAATAGTGTTGGATGTACGGGTACGGGTATTACCCATGAGTACCCGAAACCCACGGGTATGGGGATGGGTTTGCCGAACATTTCCCGCATGGGTATGGGGCGGGTATGGATTTGGATAGTTGAAGATGGGGATGGGGATGGAGATGGGGATGGTTTAGATAAACTCGCCCCAAACCCGCCCCTTTGCCATCCCTACCTGCAGCCCAACGTCCGTTCACACGCGCATCCTCCATTCGAGAATCGAGAAACCCTACTCGATCTGCTTCCTTTCTCTTCTCCGCAGACTTCCACCCAAAGGCCAAAACCCAGCTTCAAGCTTGAAACTCCATCTACTCCTTTCCCTCAATAATTCTGGAGACTTCCTTTCTCTTTACCAACAGCCGCCGCTGAATCCCTCTCCGTCCCTGAATCCATCTCTGCCTGAGAATCCCCTTCGACATCTCAGCTCTGGTGAGTGACCTCTTCTCTCGATCTTCTTATCTCGATCTTCCGCTGCCAGAGCGTTTTCCTCCCCTAGAGCTAGTTAAAGGAGTGAGGTTTTCTCTCTTAGTTGCCCCTTTCATTGGGGATTGTTGTGATTAAACGGGCAGTTTTTCGCCGTGTGGTACGGGGACTGTGTTTCATCCTCACAAAGTGGCTTCCTTGATGTGCAAATTATCTGTTGGAATTGAACTGCGGCAGTACTTTATGTTTATGCACATATGAGTCGTCAATCAGGATGCATAATTGCAGTGCGTTTGAAAGAGTATTTTTAGCTGTTCGACTTAAGGAGAAGGGGAAATTTTCTGCGTCAATCCGTTGAAACTTGAAAAAGGTTTTGCCCTGGTTGCCCCCCACCTAGTGTCACAAAAACTTGCATGCAGCCCTTTATGATTGCCAAATATGAGATGCTAAATCTCTGGGGCTGTAATTTATGTGGACCTAGTTGGATTAATTGTGATTCATAGTCTGGGGTTTGGTGTTCTTGAGTTATCCCCAGTTCCTGCCTGTTTGTTTCTTGGGCAAAACCAGAGTTTCTCCATGGCAAACACTGTAGAAATTTTTAGTGTTGAACTTTGAGCAGCTTATGCTGCCAGAGTAGAGCCTAGAAGACGAAGGGTTTGATTCCCCCTAAATGTACTTATTCACTTTAAGAATCGTAACTCACCAATGGCTCGGTCTCTAAAATTGTTTGGTCACCAGCCTCCATGATCTCTTGTTCTGCCGGTGTGTTAAGGATATTAAGCCATACTTCCTTCCATATTTTAAGTCTTAATTAAAGGGCATACAGTTCTCTGAAGTTGCATCGTCTGGTGGGCAATTTAAGCTTATTGCGTTGGAAAATCGATGGCCATGGTTGAGCTGCCTGATTGTTAGTCTAAACTGTGGCCTGTGGCAGCTTTTGCAACCTATAAATTCTGAATCACTTTAGCAAGTTATCTTGTAACATGTGTCAATTGTCCATTTATATCTACCTCTAGGTTGAATTGTGAAGTCCAGGTTATATAACTTCTGCTCAGATTTCTTTTTGTCATTTCACTATACACCGTGTCGAAACAATAACAAACCTTGTGTGTTGTTGAGTGTAGAGCAAAAGGTGAAGATGGCTGGTAGAGTAGCAAAGAATGTAGCGAAGGCAGTGGCAGAATACCAGTACCCATGGAAGGAGAAGTTGGCAAAACACAAAGCCGAGCTATCCAAGGGCGTGTGGGGCTACTGGAACTTAGGTGCATGGACCCCGCTCCAGATCAGTGCCCGTCGACGTGCTAAACTACGGAGGGAAGTTCTTCTTGCTGGGCAAGATTGGCCGTATGATCCCGAGAGAAAAGAAATGAGAACCAAAATGAAAGGACACAAATGCGACAGAATAGCTGCTGAGAAACGTGCAAACACTGCTAAGCTGATGGAGAAAATGCCAGACATGTTGCTAGCCTACAAGAAGAGAAGATGGGAGAAGAAAATGAAGGAAGAAGACAAAAACAAGTAGAGGAATTGTTTTCCCGGTTGTAGCTGCCCTCCATGAATGGCTATCGTTGAAAAAGTAGAGCTTTTGTAGACTTTGATGCAACTGTTCTTGCTCTGTTCTTGATTGCAACAAGTTTCCTTGAGCCTTTTTTGTTATAGTTCATGGCTTCTCGGGTGAACCGGGTACTGATAAGAATCGATTCAATAAGTGAGAATGTAGCTTGTTGTTCTAATGCTACACTTGTTCTTATCCACAAGACTGATAAAGAGATTAGTCTGCAGGTCTAATGGAGTACGTTTCAGGATGGATTTAGCTCAACAAATGAAGGGAAAAGTTCAAAAACAAAGATATGATGTGTACAACCTCAATGAAAGCTGGAATATGGCAAAAAAAAGGTTCCACCGAGATTTGAACTCGGGTTACTGGATTCAGAGTCCAATGTCCTGACCACTAGACCATGGAACCTTTGTTGGAAGTGTGGTGGATTCTAGTAATTTAGTTATTTACATATATAAGTTAATCCAAAGGATAAGCAGGAAAATAAATAAAGATGAAATTAATGAGATCGTTTGGAAGTTGTGATTGTTAGAGTTGTGTTTGTTAAATACATGTATTAAGCACAATACAATGTTTGGAAGTGTCAAGTTGTAAAATAATGCATGTATTGTTTTGTGTAGACCCCACCAACAATCACAAAAAATGATGCATTATATAATCTCAACTAAAAGTTGTGATTGTTGTGATTGTCCTTTTAGATTTGTGTCCACTTTTTCTTTCCATTTATATCCCCAATATTTTTTGTTTTATACTAAAAGGTGAGGGTAAATGTGACATTTCCCTATAAAGTAACTTTATGCAAATCAATACATAAACTAGAATCTCAACAACCAAACAATGTATTGTCAAAATGCATCTATTGTATCAATGCATGTATTTATATTGTAGTGATTCATTACAATACAACGATTTAACATTCGCAACTTCCAAACGACCCCTAAGCTCCCATCATACCGCAAGTGCAATTCCTGTCCCGAGCCTATTTTCGTTTGCATCACTTCAGTTTATCTTTTGAAATAGCATCCACTACGTACTCTTCTAAATAAAAATGAACTTTCCGGTACCAAGCATACAATTATAACAGAGCTTCTTAACTGCAGTCTCAAACTACTTTTCCTCAAGACTTCTTCATGAAACATGAATTGTTGGACAACTAAGACTTTGACCAGGAAAAATGTACTCGGAATCTAGATCCATAAAATCTATGACCTCATTTTTTGTTGAACTACTAGTTAAAGCATCCAACTAGCATGAAGGGCACGACTTTCATGCAATGCAATTAGAGACAAGAAAATGATGTTAAGACGAAATTATATGACTTATTACTTCAATCTTAGTGCAGCCAGTCCCACCCATCCTTAAAGGAGGAAGCGATCACGACATGTGATTGACCAAACCAAAGCCATATTTCTCATTTTTTAATTTTTAGTGGTTCGTTAAATAGCAAAAGAGAGAAGTCCAGTGAAGTTCACAACAATTTACAACAAAGGTCAGATGAAACAAGACTCAAAACCTAAAGCCCCCACATAACTACTCGAAAAAACTCAATAGGACTCAGGCAATGAGCCCAACCCTAGTTCAGACACTCAAACCCTAGCTCCACCTTGCTCGCTCTTGGAGACACCACCGCCACCGACAACAACATGTTGTTCCCAAAGACTAGCAAAATCTTAAATAGCAAATTTTTTGGGTCATCTCAATGGGTTCAGAAACTGCACGTTTCTCTGGATCATCATAACGTACTTCCACGTATCCACTCAAAGGAAGGTCCTTTCGTAATGGACGACCCTCGAAACCATAACCTGTTGATATACGGCGTAGATCCGGATGATTGATGGAAGAAACACCAAATATATCCCAAATTTCTCGCTCCCACCGATCGAATCCCTCCTCCCTCCAAGAGAATCCAAGATATGATGGTCCAAACTTTACCAAGAAGGAGAACTACAACCAAGCAACCAACCCAAACGGAGGGCAGCAGAAGCACCGAGAAACGCCTCCGACCATTTCTCGTTGGACCAGATTTCATCAGCGAGGGATACATCAGAGCGAAAGGGCGGTCGGTGACGTAACCAAGAAGGACAAACTTTTGACTTCAATTTTTTTTTCCGATAGACTCCAAGTTAAGGCCCAAACACCTCCAAAACAACAAATTATGTAGGGTGAAACAAGGAGATAGACAAAGAGAACCGTCTCTAACACGTCGGAGGACACATTATTCCTTAACCATATAAAAGGAAATACGGTGGCGCATTGTTCCTTCACCACATTAAACGGCAACGGCCGATCTAAAAGTCTTTCAACCAACCAAAGAATATAAAGAGACAAAAATGGGATTTGTTCGTTCTTAGATAAATGTTTCCTCTCGATACTTCGTGTTCGCTGTTGATTGTCCCTGATTAGAGCACGCAGCGGCATTTCCTCTGAAGCAACAAGAAGATATTTTTCTTTATATCTCGGTATATAGCTTCCTCCGGTTGGTACCTCTTCTCTGCTTCTCCAACCTTTATTTTTAATTCCACCTTTCCCTCACTGAATTACTCCATCCATACATGTTTTTCGCTAAATCCAAGACTTACCCGTTTCAATTCGCTCCAGATAACGTCAAACCCACCTCCTTGATTCCTCTTTGAATCATCGGTGGTTCCCTATTTGCTCGGCTTGGTACTGATTCCTTTTGCCCCACCGTTACGAAAACTTCCCTTTATCCACTTCTCCGCGACCATGGCTGCTGCAGCTCTTAGATCGAAGCCCGGCAAAGCGACGGCCTCCTTTGCTATCTCACAGTTCAGGTACTGCCTGCTCAGCTACCCGCGCCCCGGGGGTCGCATGTCCAACTCGTATTCGACTAGTCGTTCCAAATGGAGTGATTACTACACAACAACTCCCTATCACTTCACTTCCTTCAAGCCAGTCTCCCTCCGTGGCGAATTGGTTGATAAGGGTTGCCGGGCGTTTGCGATCGGGGGACGCGGCGTCAAAGAATTGATAAGTGGGAACGATACTGTTCTGGCTTGCTCTTCTGGTAATAGCAATGGGTCTAACTATGGGGAGCCGCCGGAGGCCTGGCAGCCTCCTGGCGATGGAATTGCGAGGGTTAGCGAGTCGAGTTTGAATGGTGTCCGCGGAGGCAAAGGAGGAGGAGGGCCTGGTTCTGGGTCCAAAGATGGGTCCTGGGGTGGATCCAATTTGGGGAACAATTTCCCAACTCCGAAGGAAATCTGTAAAGGTTTGGATAAGTTCGTGATTGGTCAAGAAAGGGCAAAGAAGGTGACCCTCGTTTTCCTGCTCAGTTTGTTCCTTTCTTGTTAGAAGCTTGTTGCTGAAGCATTTTGAAGTTGTTTGGCTTGTGCATGAATGTACAATTGAGTGGTTTGGTTCTTGAATTGGTGACTGAATATACGACTTTGCCTAAGCTCAAGCTACATATCCTCGTCATCTGACCTTTTGTGTTTCTTCATACTGCTCTAATCTGTTCCCTAATTGCCCAACTACTTATCTGTGTTGTCTATCTAGTTCATCATTATCTTCATTCCTTTTCTACAGCCTACTGTTTTGTGATTGCTGCTCGGTACCAGGTCATGCTCATTTTGCTAATGTTATCTTAATATCATCTTGAATGCAGGTGCTTTCTGTAGCAGTGTACAATCACTATAAGAGGGTCCATCACGAGACCATTCAAAGGTGTTACTTTGTATCTTGAATATATATCAAGCAACTTTCTTTTTTCTCCCTTGACTATCACATAATATAATTGGGGGAGTGGTTTGGGTGAGTTGGATGATAGATGGGAGAGGATATGGGGACTCTGGGTATAACAGGCCAGTGGTTGCTCAAATTTAGCATGTCTCTTCTTTTGACCGGTTCCAGAAACTGCCTGTGTCTTGTGATATATCTGTCATAATGCTTCAAAATGTTCCCATGCAATAGTGAGGATTCTGACAGTTATAGCAGCTTAATTTTCCTCCCTATATTAGTCCTTTCATGGATTTTCTTTGATCTGGTGCCAGTTGAGGTTTGAAAATGAAACATTGAGGGCAAAGGATTATGGTTTACTATTGTGTTGCATCTTGCTTTTAATTGTGGTTATGGAGTTTTCAACTTGTAACACATACATGGGAAGTTAGGTCTGCAGGAGATTCAGGTAACAAGCTTGATGCTGTGGATGATGATGGAGTGGAGCTTGAGAAAAGTAATATTCTTTTGATGGGACCAACTGGCTCAGGTAATTGTCAGGGTCCCTTTGTTCTATCCTGCTTGCAAAGTTGAAATGGCCACATCAGCAGCTCATTGGATATAACTGTCACTATGAGTTGGATGCCTGTACCTCTTGTTGGAGTGCCAATAGTTCCGCAACCGTGATTCTTAACACTATATTATCATGCTCTATACTTCAAACACCACTGCAGTGGCATGTGGATATTCGTCCCATCAAAATCAACCTTTTCTGTATTTCCCTACTTGTCAATTACTTATGTCATTAGCTGTCTATTTGATTGAATGAGTTCAGGACCTTTGCATTGTGAACCCTATAAATCAGTTACTGGTCTCACTTGTTTACTGTATTTTTATGCCATTTCAAGGACAGGGAAAACCCTACTTGCGAAAACAATGGCACGGTTTGTCAATGTTCCCTTTGTTATAGCAGACGCCACTACCTTGACGCAGGTAACTCAGTCATAAATTGTTTCATTCTAATCATCTGCTCCTCCACCATCACTTCTGCTTTTTTTAACATTTAAGTTATTGCTGCATAAAGTGCCAAGTCATTATATCCTAAAGCATTCTTGTTTTGGAACTGATTTTATATTTTTCAATATTCTCTGTGCAGGCTGGTTATGTTGGAGAAGACGTGGAGTCTATATTGTATAAGCTACTTGTGGTAATCTTTCTCTATCTGGTTTGTTCTTTTTATGAGTAATAATCTAATCAGAAAGAATCATAATCTTTGGGGCTGTGGAGCATGCTATTTGATTTCAAATTCGCTCTTTCTAAGTATCTCTTTCACCTAAATGTGTCTATCTCTCCATCATATATCAGGTTGCCGACTATAATGTAGCAGCTGCACAGCAGGGCATAGTTTACATAGATGAAGTTGACAAAATCACCAAAAAGGTTCTTGAACCATTTCCAAATGAGACTGAATATTTCATTAACTGCTTTCAGTACAATTATAAACATTATCTTTTACTCTACTGATTATTCATTTATGTCAATGTGGCAGGCAGAGAGTGCTAACCTTAGTAGAGATGTGTCAGGAGAGGGTGTTCAGCAGGCATTGCTTAAGATGCTTGAAGGAACTGTAAGTGCTTCTGGGCTGAAGTAGCAAGGGATATTTGGTCTGTCTGATAAAAATTATGCATTACTGTTTCACATAAAAGAACAGATTGCATTATTTAGTACGGTAATTTAGTTGACCTGTAATGCAAAAGCAACTAATTGAAGTGTTCACCAAGCACATAGTTACAATGTTGTTCTTCTTATCCAGATTGTCAATGTTCCAGAGAAGGGGGCTAGGAAGCATCCCAGGGGTGATAATATTCAGGTACTGTGGCTGCAAAATGAACATGGATGATGCTTTTTTTTTTTTTGGTAGGAAGGATGATGCTTTTTGTTGGCAGTATTGTACTCTTCTGGTACTTATGTGTATGAGACGGATTCGTCATATATTGCTCTTTAATTCTTGTCTCTTCTGTGTTTTCCCATAGATTGACACCAAGGATATTCTCTTCATATGTGGAGGCGCATTTATTGACTTGGAGAAAACCATTTCAGAGAGGTAACATGGAAATGCAGGCTTCAGTCCTTTTAGCTTTCCTTTATTTTCATCTGAAAATGGATGTTCATGGTATATACTGTGTCTCAATATACAGGCGACAAGATTCATCTATAGGGTTTGGTGCCCCTGTACGTGCTAACATGAGAACCGGCACGGTTACAAGTGCTGCTGTCACATCTTCTTTATTGGAAACTGTAAGTGCAGTCTTCACCTAAACTAAGCAACTGTTATGTGCTTTATTACTAGTTTGGTGGTTGGTTTTGTTTTGTCTCATATTCCTGGGATTAAATATGCCATGTGATGTGTTTTTGGCAGGTTGAAAGTGGTGATCTTATTTCATATGGCTTGATTCCTGAGTTTGTTGGAAGATTTCCCGTCCTTGTCAGCTTGTCAGCTCTCACAGAAGATCAACTTGTGCAGGTAAACTTGTAGTTGTGGTGAATAACAAGCTTAATAACGTAAGCTAAATATGTTTAGATGTTGCTTCTTATTTCTAACTTTAATTGAATGGAAAATAAAAGAATTTCACCAATCTTACGCTCTATTTGTTGCTTCTGAATTCATCAATGGCTTTTTCAGGTTCTGACGGAACCCAAGAATGCCCTTGGAAAGCAATACAAAAAGATGTTTGAAATGAATGGTGTAAGTACATTTGATGTTAGCATGCAGTTAATTGATGTTTTCAGTGACTTAAATCTTTAGGGTTGTCTATCAAACTTATGACTCATTCTGTTTTCCCAGGTTAAGCTACACTTCACAGAAAAAGCTACGAGATTAATTGCCAGGAAAGCTATAACCAAAAATACCGGGGCTCGTGGCTTGCGATCCATACTAGAAAATATCTTGATGGATTCCATGTACGAGGTATGTTGCTGCTTGCTTGCTATTGGGTGGTTACTAATTCTACTCTCCATATCTGTGGTTCATCAGACGTCAATGTGGTGGGCTAAAAGTTAATACTATCACAAAGTTTATAATTTCCGATGATAAAATATCAAGCTGCAATGAATCTTCTCTGTA